GTGTAGAGCTTTATTATACCATGGTTAGCTGTGTAGAGCTTTATTGTACCATGGTTAGCTGTGTAGAGCTTTATCATACCATGGTTAGCTGTGTAGAGCTTTATTATACCATGGTTAGCTGTGTAGAGCTTTATTATACCATGGTTAGCTGTGTAGAGCTTTATCATACCATGGTTAGCTGTGTAGAGCTTTATCATACGATGGTTAGCTGTGTAGAGCGTTATCATACGATGGTTAGCTGTCTAGAGTTTTATAAAGTTATATTTTACTCCGTGTAGAGCTTTATCATACGATGGTTAGCTGTCTAGAGCTTTATAAAGTTTGTTTTACTCCGTGTAGAGCTTTATCATACCATGGTTAGCTTGTAGAGCTTTATTATACCATGGTTAGCTGTGTAGAGCTTTATTATACCATGGTTAGCTATGTAGAGCTTTATCATACCATGGTTAGTTGTGTAGAGCTTTATTATACCATGGTTAGTTGTGTAGAGCTTTATCATACAATGGTTAGTTGTGTAGAGCTTTATCATACCAAGGTTTTTGTGTAGAGCTTTATCATACCATGGTTAGCTGTGTAAAGCTTTATTATACCATGGTTAGCTGTGTAGAGCTTTAACATACTATGGTTAGCTGTGTAGAGCTTTATTATACCATGGTTAGCTGTGTAGAGCTTTATTATACCATTGTTAGCTGTTTAGAGCTTTATTGTACCATGGTTAGCTGTGTAGAGCTTTATCATACCATGGTTAGCTGTGTAGAGCTTTATTATACCATGGTTAGCTGTGTAGAGCTTTATTATACCATGGTTAGCTGTGTAGAGCTTTATCATACTATGGTTAGCTGTGTAGAGCTTTATCATACGATGGTTAGCCGTGCAGAGCTTTATTGTACCATAGTTAACTGTGTAGGGCTTTATTATACCATGGTTAGCTGTGTAGAGCTTTATCATACTATGGTTAGCTGTGTAGAGCTTTATTATACCATGGTTAGCTGTGTAGAGCTTTATTATACCATGGTTAGCTGTTTAGAGCTTTATTGTACCATGGTTAGCTGTGTAGAGCTTTATCATACCATGGTTAGCTGTGTAGAGCTTTATTATACCATGGTTAGCTGTGTAGAGCTTTATTATACCATGGTTAGCTGTGTAGAGCTTTATCATACTATGGTTAGCTGTGTAGAGCTTTATCATACGATGGTTAGCCGTGCAGAGCTTTATTGTACCATAGTTAACTGTGTAGAGCTTTATTATACCATGGTTAGCTGTGTAGAGCTTTATCATACTATGGTTAGCGTGTAGAGCTTTATTACCATGGTTAGCTGTGTAGAGCTTTATTATTCATGGTTAGCTGTTTAGAGCTTTATTGTACCATGGTTAGCTGTGTAGAGCTTTATCACACTATGGTTAGCTGTGTAGAGCTTTATCATACGATGGTTAGCCGTGCAGAGCTTTATTGCACCATAGTTAGCTGTGTAGAGCTTTATCATACTATGGTTAGCTGTGTAGAGCTTTATTATTCCATGGTTAGCTGTGTAGAGCTTTATTATACCATGGTTAGCTGTTTAGAGCTTTATTGTACCATGGTTAGCTGTGTAGAGCTTTATCATACCATGGTTAGCTGTGTAGAGCTTTATTATACCATGGTTAGCTGTGTAGAGCTTTATTATACCATGGTTAGCTGTGTAGAGCTTTATCATACTATGGTTAGCTGTGTAGAGCTTTATCATACCATGGTTAGCTGTGTAGAGCTTTATTATACCATGGTTAGCTGTGTAGAGCTTTATTATACCATGGTTAGCTGTGTAGAGCTTTATTATACCATGGTTAGCTGTTTAGAGCTTTATTGTACCATGGTTAGCTGTGTAGAGCTTTATCATACTATGGTTAGCTGTGTAGAGCTTTATCATACGATGGTTAGCCGTGCAGAGCTTTATTGTACCATAGTTAGCTGTGTAGAGCTTTATCATACTATGGTTAGCTGTGTAGAGCTTTATTATACCATGGTTAGCTGTGTAGAGCTTTATTATACCATGGTTAGCTGTTTAGAGCTTTATTGTACCATGGTTAGCTGTGTAGAGCTTTATCATACCATGGTTAGCTGTGTAGAGCTTTATTATACCATGGTTAGCTGTGTAGAGCTTTATTATACCATGGTTAGCTGTGTAGAGCTTTATCATACTATGGTTAGCTGTGTAGAGCTTTATCATACCATGGTTAGCTGTGTAGAGCTTTATTATACCATGGTTAGCTGTGTAGAGCTTTATCATACCATGGTTAGCTGTGTAGAGCTTTATCATACCATGGTTAGCTGTGTAGAGCTTTATTATACCCTGGGTCATCCTTCACTGTGAGCGACACTGCTACACCTCACACAACAACTGCTACAACTCACACAACAACTGCTACACCTCACACAACTGCTACACCTACACAACAAACGCTACAACTCACACAACAACTGCTACAACTCACACAACAACTGCTACACCTCACACAACTGCTACACCTCACACAACAACTGCTACACCTCACACAACAACTGCTACACCTCACACAACAACTGCTACACCTCACACAACAACTGCTACACCTCACACAACAACTGCTACACCTCACACAACAACTGCTACACCTCACACAACTGCTACACCTCACACAACTGCTACACCTCACACAACAACTGCTACACCTCACATAACAACTGCTACACCTCACACAACTGCAACCTCACACAACTGCTACACCTCACACAACAACTGCTACAACCCCACAACAACTGCTACACCTCACACAACAACTGCTACACCTCACACAACAACTGCTACACCTCACACAACAACTGCTACACCTCACACAACAACTGCTACACCTCACACAACAACTGCTACACCTCACACAACAACTGCTACACCTCACACAACAACTGCTACACCTCACATAACAACTGCTACACCTCACACAACAACTGCTACACCTCACATGGTTTCCCTTGGCTTACAAAAACATTTAAAGTCAGTTAACTTTGGCATATATAAAGTTTTCATATTGAATTAAATATATTGCTGCTGCTGCTGCTGCTAATAATAATAATAATAATAATAATAATAATAATAATAAATAATAATATAATAATAATATTAATAATAATTATAACGATAATAATATTAATGATAGAAATAATAATAACACTACTAATAATGACAATAATGACAATAATAATAATAATAATAATAATAATAATAATAATAATAATAATAATAATAATAATAATAATAATGATAATAATAATAATAATAATAATAATAATAATAATAATAATAATAATAATAATAATAATAATAATAATAATAATAATAAAGAACAATAATAGTAAAAATAATAAAGTCCACAAGCGTATGTGCCAAAATGATATTAAACGCCTATACCTGGAGTTTACCTGGAGAGTGTTTCGGGGGTCAACGCCCCCGCGGCCCGGTCTGTGACCAGGCCTCCTGGTGGATCAGCGCCTGATCAACCAGGCTGTTGCTGCTGGCTGCACGCAAACCAACGTACGAGCCACAGCCCGGCTGATCAGGAACTGCCTTTAGGTGCTTGTCCAGTGCCAGCTTGAAGACTGCCAGGGGTCTGTTGGTAATCCCCCTTATGTGTGCTGGGAGGCAGTTGAACAGTCTCGGTCCCCTGACACTTATTGTATGGTCTCTTAACGTGCTAGTGACACCCCTGCTTTTCATTGGGGGGATGGTGCATCGTCTGCCAAGTCTTTTGCTTTCGCAGTGAGTGATTTTCGTGTGCAAGTTCGGTACTAGTCCCTCTAGGATTTTCCAGGTGTATATAATCATGTATCTCTCCCTCCTGCGTTCCAGGGAATACAGGTTTAGAAACCTCAAGCGCTCCCAGTAATTGAGGTGTTTTATCTCCGTTATGCGCGCCGTGAAAGTTCTCTGTACATTTTCTAGGTCGGCAATTTCACCTGCCTTGAAAGGTGCTGTTAGAGTGCAGCAATATTCCAGCCTAGATAGAACAAGTGACCTGAAGAGTGTCATCATGGGCTTGGCCTCCCTAGTTTTGAAGGTTCTCATTATCCATCCTGTCATTTTTCTAGCAGATGCGATTGATACAATGTTATGGTCCTTGAAGGTGAGATCCTCCGACATAATCACTCCCAGGTCTTTGACGTTGGTGTTTCGCTCTATTTTGTGGCCAGAATTTGTTTTGTACTCTGATGAAGATTTAATTTCCTCATGTTTACCATATAGTTTACCATATAGTTTACCATATAGTAAGCAATTTCTGATATTAAACTGTATCATCCTGTTTATTATTATAATTATTATCATTATTATTATTATTATTATTATTATTATTATGGGGGAGCGCTAAACCCGTAGGGACCCTCCTGATCAACGTTAGTATATCACTTAAGCTAAGAACGTCAAACGTCTGACGGTGATACTGTAACCAGTTTGATATATTTATTTTCCTGCCCATGAACCATCCTGTGTACATTTGTACTTACCTACTTATGATGGCGACGAAGTATTTAGTGAATTTAGAATAATGTAAACGAATTTAGACGGTCATGGGTTCGGTCACAAAACATTACTACTATATGCAATAATCGCGAACAAATGATACAAGATGGAAAACAACCACAGAGGAAGTTGAATGGTAGCTCTAGGTCTTTCGTGTTGCAGTCAACACATCTTCAGACATTGAGTTATCATTCAGTTTCCCCTGTGGTTATTTTATTTTATTACTGTATAGTTATATGTGTATATGAGGTCATTTTTTTATTTTTTGAATAATTTTTTAGGAAATATATTTTTTCCTACTAAAATTAAGGTATTTTGCTTTAAAAATAATATAGAATAAAAATGCCTAATTTTATAGACCTTGATGAGCTTCTCATATTTAATATAATTTTTGGGTTTATTTGGAATAATAGACGTGAATATTTGACTGTCTATTTTGCAGTCTTAATTTTGATATGTGTGTGTTTGCAGGACCAAGTGGAAAAGACAGAACCAGATGCGCTTGGAGCAGCTGCGTCAGTCTGCAGGTGTCGGCGTGGAGAAGGACCTGCTGGGGGCAGGTGGTGGTGGGAGCGTAACTCCCCTGTCGACCCACTGGGGGTCGTGGCCCCCACCTGCTGCCCTCCCTACTTCCTGCCCCCCGTCGACCGTTCCTGCTTCATCACTACTGCTGGTCTCTTCACCCGCCTCCCATACACCCCTTCCTGTCCCTTGTGACCCCTCCCCGACCCTTGACCCCTCCCCTTCAGCCCCTCCTGTCCCTTGTGACCCTTCCCTGACCCTGACCCTTCCACTGTACCCCCTGTCCCATTCCCCTACAAATTACTGTTCCCTTTTCTTAAATTATCTTACATATTTTCCCCCCATTTCTCTCCCATGTCGTCTCTCCTTTTCTTACACACCCTTCCCTTCCTCTCTCCCTCATGCACTTTATTGTTTTATCTCCCTCTTCTCTTCCTCCTAGTTTCCATCCTACCATCTTCCTCCTAGCTCCCTTCCTCCTATTTTCCCTTTCTTTCAGTCTTCCTGATAATGATATATCCCACAGTGTATATATTATCTGCTGAGTGTTGTGTATGACCCGAGTCTTTTGTATATAAATGTCTTACTTATAAATGTTCAGTGTTCATGAGTGTAACTTAGATTTTTTTAAGATTGAATAGATTTATTTATTAATGTCCTATGCACTACAAAGAATATAGAACATCTTTCGAAATGTACAATATTTGAAACTAACGACCTTGGAGGGAATTAATTGGATATGAGCATTGAAGAGTCGTCATACCAATATATTCACGAGGAAAGTCTAGCTCTTTAACCAGTTTATGTGTTATATCTGGTGGCATTATTGAAAGCTTCGTGTGTAATAAACTATAGTGCGAAGTGTTTCTCTGTGACAGAGGGCCACGGCCCCCACGGTGGGCCACGGCCCCCACGGTGGGCCTTATCGTAAGAGAGTAAACCTTTAACATTTACTCTTGTGCCTCTTTTCCAGAGGTGGCTTCCTAGGTTACAAAAGATTGTCAGGAAACAGGACAAGCGTTTCCTGACGCGAGTCTTAGTCGTATGATGACCTGCAGCTGGAGCTTTTGGTCATCTGACAGAGGCCTTCCATGGCTTACCCCTCCACCCCTGTAAAAATTATGTTATGATTATAACCATTAGATTTCTCCTATCATTTTATCTGAAAAAAAAAGCACTGCGTAATAGGCTGTTCGTGTACATATTAGCTCGATTGGTGTAAGAAAACACTACGTTACCGAGTCTCAGCTGATTTATAATAGCTGACTATAAATTTTCTATCATTCTCAGCCAAGTTATTTCATAACTGACTGATTTTTTTTTAAAATCTGAGACATGTTATGCAATATCTGCTGTTGACGTTGGCGTAAGGCTAGATTACTTGTAACGTCGTTAAAGCTGACTCTGACGTACCTTAGATTCAGCTGTGAATCTTTTTCATGTTTTCTCAAAGTCGTTAATACGTTTTAGTACAATTAAGCTCAGTGACTTATATAGTTGTGACGTTTCTTAAGGTGTCTACATGAATACTGGGAGATATATAAACCCTCTGTACGAACTTCAGTTGAAGGTTCATAAAAGTTGTAATTATCAGTGACTGAAGTTTTAAATTATTGATGTATAAAATTCTGGAATATCTGTATGAAAAAATTAATACTAACTCAGTTTAACGATAATTAAATTGGTTAGTCTAATTGGCTACACGAGGTTCATTAAGGCAGCATTTCCCTCGTTTACCAGGAGTCAAAAATACTTTGATATATATTAAATAGGGACTAAAATCAGCTGTCAGTGTCTACGTGAGAGATGCACACCTCTTGGTGTATATATCAGAGTGTAGAAATGTATATTTTTTATCTCATTCAAGACTCCGCTTGATCATTTTTTCCTAATCTATATAGAAAAAAGACTGTTGTTAGGGTTTAAATAGAAGGGAATTAATCTTTCTCTTGTGAAGAAAGTTCTGTAGTACAATGTTAATTTTAGGTTTGACTGCAACAGTGGGCAAGATTTTTAGATTAGATTTTGCCACCGAAGTGGCTAGTTTATTGTGCACTCCATATCCATCCTGTGGACAGTAGCACAAGAGCTTATGGATACACAGAAGGCCTAGGAAACTAGGCCCCAAAAGGGTTAACAGGTGTACATAAGGATTACAGTGGACAAGACAGTGCGAAAGAGGGAAATATTGGGTAGCACTGTATTTAGCATCCTTGCCTAAAGAAAATTACCTTATCTAATTAGCCTAGTATAACCTAATTAATCTGATCGGATGCTTGTACTTGTTTCCGTAACTTTTTTTTTTCGTTTTCTCGTTCTGTTGATAAAATAATTAGGAGCTCAAATGCATATTGCCTGTTAAAAAAAAATCTTTGGAATCAGTGTTATCTGTACATTAAAAAACTAGAAGAAATTAAACAATGAAACGTCTCAGAAGAAAATGGTTTTAACTATTTATTGTGTCTATTGAAGTTTTAAAATGTTACTATTAAATTCCTAATATGATCTTGTACATTAATAAAATAAGCAAAATAAATAATATAGCTTAGGCATGTAATAATCATAAATTAATACAAATCATGAAGCTAGTTAATAAAATCTTTTGTGTCTTATGGTTTATATTAAAGAAAGAAGGGTAGCAGTTATTATATAAGAGGACTATAATCTTGCTATCTAGTTAGGGAACACTAGTACTGATGCTAGTCATGGGGAACTAGTAATAAGTAGTTGTGCTGCTCCGGCCTAATGAAGGCTGTTATGTGGTTATACTTGTAGAAAATTATAGTTAACATCTTGTAATAATTGTTTTATTTCATCCTTTAACATAAGCTGACCCGTAAAGAGCTGTATGACCCGGGTCATACAATTTCCCGGGAGCTGTAACCCGGGGAGTTGGAGGGGTTTGGGTAATTAGGTTTGATGTGAAGAAGGGTAGGAGTAGCTCCAGTTTCTTAGACCAAGAGCTTTTCAGCAGCATCAAGGTACCTCGCTTGAGGTTTGACTTGTGAACAGTGTACCGGCGATGCTTGGAAGTAGTCTATGTGGAAGTTGTTATATTGCCCGGAGAAAATTCTTCAAAGGGGCGCCTTGATGCTGCTGAGGGGCTGCTGTATAGTCCTTGTGGCTTAGCGCTTCTTTTTGATTATAATAATAATAATCTTGATACCAGCAAGTAGAGCTTCCTCGGAGCAAACCGTATTTTACTAACCCCTCTTATTTCCAGGCGTTGTATGGCCATTACAAGTGGAGCGCTTCCAAATACGTTTAATAACAATAATAATATTTGTTACTGATTACTGGGGGTTACCGCCCTTACGATCTACTCTTAAGTGAAGGTAAACCAGGATGATGATGAGAAAGGTGAAAATGAGACAGAAGATGATAAGGAGAAACAACATAAGATAAAATAATATATAGTTTTGTGACTACATTTATTTTTATTCTGGAAAAACACTTGAATCTGTGAAATTTCCAACCAGTATTAATTTATCAAAACACATAAGGTAACCATTAATTCTATTCGTTTTCTTTTTCAATATAAGAAAACATGCATACTATAGTTCAATGTATAACTAAAATATTTTTGTCAAAAATCTATTAACCAAAACAAGGATAGTACTCGCTTACATTTATTATCCTGTGTGTGGCTGTAAGGATCGAATCTCAGCTCCTGGCCCCGCCTCTTCTTTGGCTGCTACTGGGTTCACCCTCTCATGGTTCTAAGAACCCTAATATACCTCTTCTTGAAGCTGTGTATAAATCCCGCCTCTACCATTGAACTGTCCAGATCGTTCCACTTCTTGACTACTCTAAAACTGAAGAAATACTCCCTAAGATCCCTGTGGCTCATCTTTGTTTTTCAACTATCAAATGTGCCCTCGTGTTCCTCTTTCCCGCCTCTCAACCTATCTGTCCCTGTCCACTCTTATCAGTTCCTCTCTGTATTTTGTACGTCGTTATCATATCATGCCTAGTTCTTCTGTCCTCTAATGTCATCAGGTTTAGAGCTCCTTTAATCTCTCCTCAAAGCTTATATCTCTTAGCCCCAGGACCAGTCTCGTTGCTAATCTCCGTACTTTCTCCAATTTCGTGACATGCTTGATTAGGTGTGAGTTCCATACTTGTGCTGCATACTTCAGTATAATAAGAAATAAGATTTTGTTCGGATTTTTACCCCCGGAGGGTTAGCCACCCAGGATAACCCAAGAAAGGCAGTGAGTCATCGAGGACTGTCTGTCTTATTTCCATTGGGGTCCTCAGTCTTGTCCCCCAGGATGCGACCCACACCAGTCAACTAACCTGGAGAGTATACCTGGGGAGGGTTTAGGGGGTCAACAACCCCGCGGCTCGGTCTGAGATTAAGCCTCATGGTGGATCAGGGACTGATCAACCAGGTTGTTACTGCTGGCCGCACGCAAACTGTCGTACGAACCACAGCCCGGCTGGTCATGAAATGACTATAGGTGCCTGTCCAGTGTCTTCCTGAAGACAGCCAGGGGTCTATTGGTAATCCCCTTTATGTATGTTGGGAGGCAGTTGAACAGTCTTGGGCCCCTGACACTTACTGTGTTGTCTCTCAGTGTACTCGAGGCGCCCCTGCTTTTCATTGAGGGAATGGTGCATCTTCTGCCGAGTCCTTTGCTTTCATAGGGAGTGATTTTCGTGTGCAAGTTTGGTACTACTAATCTCTAGGATTTTCCAAGTGTATATTATCATGTATCTGTCTCGGCTGCTTTCCAGGGAATACAAATCAAGGGGCTTCAACCGTTCTCAGTAATTTAGGAGCCTCATCGTACTTATGTGTGCCGTGAAAGTTCTTTGTACACTCTCCAGGTCAGCAATTTCGCCTGTCATGAAGGGTGCAGTTAGTGCACAGCAGTATTTCAGCCTAAAAATAACAAGCAATTTGAAGAGAATCATCATGGGCTTGGCGTCCCTAGTTTTGAAGGTTCTCTCTCTCTCTTCCATTATCCATCCACATTTCCTAGCAGATGAGGAGATCATGTTGGGGTCTTTGAAAGCAAGATCCCTTGACTTTAAACACTCCCAAGTCCTTCACATTATTTTTTTCGCTCTATTTAGGGTTAAAAATTTGTTGTAGCCCTATACAAATTTCCCCAAAATTTTCCCCATACTTGAGTATTGAAATTTCTCTTCATTGAACTTCAAATGTTTTGAGGGGCCCCCATTTGAAG